AAAGTTTATGAACTAGAAAATATTGCATATTATTAGTATCACATTTTAATCCCTTAGTTGAATGAGTTATCTTCAGTTCTGGTTCTGGTAGTCTGACTTTATAATTAATACCTATTAAAAATTGTTAAAAGTTTTTTAAAATCCTCTATACAATCTCTTTGTTCTAGGCTAGCATTGAGGATATGCCATGGGCGCAGAACTTATGGGAGAAAGTTGAGCAGCATAGCAAAAAAGGCTTTCTGAACTGGTGTAAAATTGTAAAAAAAAGTAGCCGGTAACAAAGGCGAAGATGTCGTTATGTGGAATAACGAGTATCTCAGGTCGGTCGATGAGTTTTTTTGCGATATGGTGGCCGAAATGTCGCAAACTCATTCGCGTCAACCATCAACAAAATGCAAGAGTTTTTCACTCGACTAGAAAGGGCGTGCATCGAACTCCACCAACCATTGCCTGAAATTAAGGAAGAAGGTTTAAGCCTTTACGAAGCCCAGCAAGAATTATTGAAATACGTGAATAAGTGAGTTGTTAAAAAAATTAATTTACTTATTATATTTTTTTTATTAAATTAATTTAGATATGAAGCTGTCGTTAATGCTAAGAAACTAGCTCTGGAAAATCTTAACAAAAAACAAATACAATTATGCAAAGAGTTAGACCGGAAAATACAAATTGATTTGAAGTACCCCCCATTGCCTACCCAAGCACAGTTTGATAAATTGGAAGCAGAAAAGTTTGAACGCGAGGAAAAATTCGTAAATTTGAAACACGAAATCACAGAAATCGTTGATGAAATCAAATACAAACCCAATAGCGACTTTGAAAGAGAGGTTTGATTTTTGTAAATTTTTTTTTTTTTAATAAACTTTGATAAATATTTTTTCAATAGGTATTGTCTTCAGATGATATGATGTTGAGTAACCAGAATCTAAAAATGCTGGAGTTTTTCGCCAAGTGTATGAAAGAGCTCAAACTATCCACCGAAGAAGAAGTGTCACATTTAAGAACAAGAATTGAAGATCTATGGAAAATGTTGGATATCGAGTTAATAGATAGAGATGAATTTAGAAGTCATTATTGTACTAGTAGATATATTATAGGTAGGAAAAGGTAACTAGCGACAGATGTCGAAACTTGACAGAAAGTAATAAAGTGAGCTTCAAATATAGAGTATCTTCTATTCGTCGGTAAATATGCAGTATAGCCCGGTCACCTAAAATGGTATTTTTTTGAATAAGAATCGTTTGTTTAACGTTCAAATAGTGCATTTTGAAGAAAATTTTCCAGCGGAAATCTTTAATTTAAAAATTACAAATTAAAATTATATTGAAAATACTCAAAAAAATAGGTATTTTAGATGACCGGGCTATATTGCACTTTATCCCCTAAATAAATATGCAGTATAGCCCGGTCACCTAAAATAGTATTTTTTTGAATAAGAATCGTTTGTTTAACGTTGAAATAAAGCATTTTGAAGTGAATGTTTCAGCGGAAATCTTCAATTGAAAAGTTAAAAATTAAAATTGTACTGAAAATACTTTTTATTTGCAACCAAGCTATAATGCACTTTTTCCCCTAAATAAATATGCAGTATAGCCGGTCACCTAAAGAGTTTTTTATTTAATTAAGAAAATGTAGATTAACCCAAACTAACCCGTCCGTATAGTGCTAGTAGTCTGCATAAGTGAAATACTGTTTATTTTTAACCAACCTATACTACTGCTCTTTACCCCCTAAATAAATATGCAGTAGGTATAGCCCGGTCACCGAAAATATTTTTTTTAAATTCAAAATCGTTTGTTTAACATCCAAATAGTGAATTTTAAATAAAATTTTCTAAAGGAAATTTTTAATTGAAAAATTACACTGACAATAAATTCTTAGAATTTATACGATATTGGTTTAAAATGCCTACCTACTAAAGATATGTTATCACTATGTTTAAATAAAGTTCTGTTTATTTCTGTAAATACAATTTTTTTTTAAAATCTTGCAAACCTTAACATGTCGAAGTTGTCCCACTCTCCCCTACTGCATATTTATTTAGGGCCGAAAGTGCAGTATAGGTCAGTTACAAATAAACAGTATTTTACTTCTGCGGACTAGCTAGCACTATATGGACGGGTTAGTAAGAGTTAGTTTGATTTAATCTGCATTTTCTTAATTAAATAAAAAACTCTTTAGGTTTCCGGGCTATACTGCATATTTATTTAGGGAAAAAGTGCATTATAGCTCGGTTACAAATAAATAGTATTTTCAGTACAATTTTAATTTGTAATTTTTCAATTAAAGATTTTCAGATTTCCGCTGGAAAATTTTCTTCAAAATGCACTATTTGAACGTTAAACAAACGATTCTTATTCAAAAAAATGCTATTTTAGGTGACCGGGCTATACTGCACTTTTACCTATTCGTCTTCTTACAATTATACACGGAAAGAAATTTTGGATACTATTAATCCAGTAGGGTAGTATTACAATCAAATTTTTGATCAATATAGCGTCAATCTAAATTTAGATTAATATCGATAAATGATTGGATTGATTTACTTGTTAAGCTAAAATCTGCTAAAATATATCAAACCATGATAAGTAGCAGCTAATGAGTTCTAATAAATAACAACCAAAATTTGCTTATTATTAGCAAAAATAAAATTAAATTTGTCTAGGATATTCCTGAATATAATTTATATATTCTTAAATTTAGCTAAGCGTTGAATAGTATCAAGCAATTTTTGGATCAGTTCAAGTTGATTGTAGATAATATTTGCTAAATATATGATTGATTTTAGAAAAAGATATGACGAAAGATAGCAAATTGACAAATAATTAGGATAAAATTTATCAAATAATTTGATTACTTCTTGCAATATTTTGATGTTATATATCTAATAATTGAGTGCAACTTATCAAATCTTTTGATTATGTGCATTCAATATTTGATTGCTGGCCAATTGATTTTCGTAATTAGCGGTGGTGGTGGGAAAATAGTAACAATAAAATGAGATTTCGGTTTAATTATTATTTATTCTGCATTCGTTTACAATGTTGAATACTAAATTATTATTATCTCCTATTAACTTAACCTAAATAACCTTCTCAAAAGGAATACAATTTATACCTTATAGTTTATAGATAATAAGAAAATAATAACAGCCGTATGCAACATCCTCTTTCAACTTTAAAAGCGACTTTGAAAGTCAATTGCTTAAGAATAATTTTTTTTTTAAAAGTGACAAAATAGGCTAAAAGTGCTTTTAAAATTAAAAGATGATGTTGCATACGGCTATAAGTCTTTAGTGTAAAAGCAAATTAATCAGCTTACAGGAACCAAATTAAAAATATAAATTTCCTTGTATATAAATAAAAAACACAATTCCAAAACTCCGTAACACCCTATGTTATTAGTAGGTTTTTTTTACAAAAATACAGATGAAATGTTCATTTCTACTGGAAATTTCAATTTCTCTCCCATAAAGAAACAAATATCACAAATATCACTCACAAAACTCAATAATTTATTATTGCCAGTTAGCACTGCGTGGCACTACGAGTACGGGTGCGAGAGTACGAAAAAATACACAAAGACAACTTAGACAAGTTTTTTCTGTGGACCGAGTACGGCTTGCACTCCACATAAACAGGAGGGACGTTCTTCCTCCAACAAAACACCACACACTAAAATATTTTCAAATGAAAAATAACTCAAGTAGCCAAAACCGTTAGAAAAACTTATAGGTATTTGCTTATGATTTACTCCTTATATTATAGATTAAGCCAAATAATGGCTCGATTCTAGAAGAGTTTTATTAATTTGGTCAAATATTTGATAATCGTAGCAAAAATTGGATAGAAATAGTTATATATTTGATTGTTTTCAGTTCACTGTTTTTTTCTGTTTTCTAAATTTCAGTAAATTCTATGAATAACTTAATCCAGACAGGAATACATTAATTTAAAATATCATAGATATTAAGCATTTATTTTATTGATCCCGTCAAAACCATATAGATCAAAAGTAAATTAATGCCCATATTATTCTGTGTTGTAACCTAAAATATTTTAAATCAATGTACCTAGTAATTCATTCCTAATTGATTTGATTTGGAAATGTATAGATCTGTGAAATATGTAAAAAATTTGACTATGATGCTTGTTGAGATAACTTTGATAGAACTTATTTTACCAGACACTAGGAATCTCAATTTCTCAAATTGATCTTGTTGATAAATCAGATATTATCCTTTAGTTAAACTATTATCAAATACAGCTAAAATAATATAATCTAAGAGTTAATTTGAGCAAATTTCTTGCAAAAATTAATCATGGGAGGTACATCAATTCGATTTTTAATGTTTGATTGATTTAAGAAAAGCGTTTTCTGTAATCAATCTAAATTTTGATGTCCCAAGAAAAAAATTGATGAGATTTAGCAGTTTAAGCATAAAAACAAGAAAATTGTATCTATTGATATTAATTTCAATTTGATGTTATTAATCGTAAGCGAAATTAGCAGATTAATCTTAAAACGCTAATATCTGTCAGTTTTTTTCTTGTTTTATTCCATTTTAGATTAAATTAATTTATTTGGCATAGATTATGGTATTTCTTATTTCAATAAGTCGATTTGATTAATTTTATCAAAGCATTTCTTTCCTTGTACAGGCAACTCATTGGATACTTTGGAAGCGTTAAAAATTGAAGTAAAAAGATGCGAGGAATTTAGAAAAGCCAAGATAAAAAATTTTGTGGACAAATTGAGAGACCAACTCCAGACTATTTGGACAACATCTCAGAGTTTCAGGTATTTTTATGATGATTTTTATACAGAGGATTTGCTTGACCTGCATGAATTGGAAATTCAGAAATGGAAGAAATATTACGAAGATAACGGCAAACTTTTGGATATAATAAAGAAGCACCAGGAATTGTGTGTGGGATAAGGTGATACAATTGCCTATTTTGTTTGTGTGTGTTTTTTTTTTTCAAAAATATTTTTTTTAGATGATACAATTTGAAGAAAATGCAACCGGAGTAAATAGATTTAAAAATAGAGGTGGTCAATTGCTGCAAGAAGAAAAAGAACGCAATAAACTCTCTAAAGTAATACCTCAACTGGAAGAACAAATGTTGAATCTGTCTGGAGCGTTTTTGGTTAAGAACGGTGTAGTTTTCAAGACTTTTGGTAGCACTGTCGAGGAATATATCCAAAATTTGCACGAGTCCCGTGAAAACGTACATAGATTCTATTTTGTAATAATATTTTCTAATCGATTTTTTTTAGGACCGTAAAACTAAGCTGAGCGCTCGGAAATTGCAACGTTGTGAAACAACTCTTCGCACTCCAGGTAAATCTTGTATGAGCCTATTTCCACCATCCACCAGTAAGTGTACTACAGTTACCCCAAAAACGATTGCGTCCGCTTCCAAAAAGAAGATATTTGCCACGCCTACTACGGAGAATACTGCAAAGAGGCCTAAGGCAACACCTGCGACTGTTGGTTCGAAAACGAGTAAGTAGAATTATTGATTGTAGATGTTTCTGCATAGATAATATTTAAGTTGCTACAAGGGGATACAATATATGGCATGGGCCAGCATATTGTCTATAATACTGTAGCAAATCGCCCCAAGTACTCTATGTAAATTAGTTAGATGGTATATTGATGGTGTTTATATACTTGGAGCTTGCTATCTAAAATCTGTGGAAGAGGGTCTATTTGCAAGAGAGAGAAACAAACTAAGGAGGTGTACTAAATTATATTTTATTTCACATAAAACTCAAAAATCAATTAGCCAAATATCTCCCAATACTTTACATCCTTCTTTAATTCTGTAAAATTAATACTTCACATCCGTTCTATATTGTTATTATACGGACCACTGAAATATGCCTACTTAATAAGAAACGCCCTATTCATACTATTTTTCAAAATAATATTTCTATTTATTTTACTACATCCGAATCATTCCTAATAACTACCCTTTACCTAGTCAAATAATTCCTTAAAATCTCTAAGTCTTTTACTTATGAAAACCCAAAATAATTACCTATTTGTTTAACAACTAATTTATTCTCATAAAATCTTACAATAACCTCTACTTGTAAAATAAACTCCCTAATTCAAAATTCATTTCATGGACAATAAATTCTTTTAACGGCTTTCCCATATTCTAAGACAATTCTATTTCATGAACAAGTTTAATTTACGAAACTTCCTATTTCCTTTTAATTAGTTTATTTAATCAGACAAATTCTAATATAAGTTTCCTTTTAACTAGTTTCCAATATTTTAAGAAAACAATTCTATTATGTCATCAAATTTCTTTTTAAAATTTCCTATTGCAGTTAATAGTTTCTTAGAACAAATTCTATTTTCGGATTCCTATGCCTGGCTAATAAATCCAACTGTTTAATTCATAATTTCCAACTCAAAATTGAATATTGTTAAATGCATTGTAAGTCTTCATATTTTTGTTGCACATTTAAATGTCATTATATCTGAAGGTAATTAAAGTTATGCGATAATGTTTCCTTCATAAAACACTCAAGTTATTAATTTCGTTGTAATAAAGTTCCACCGTTAAATTAAAAATCAAAAGTTTTCTAGTAAAATTTCACACAAAGTCATGTTCATCAAAATAAATCTTGTCACTATAAAGTACTTACATTTTGTCCATAAAACACACGTAAAATTATTTAATTAACTACTCAAAATATTTAGCTTCACGCACATAATTGATTGAACGAAATTTCAACTGTTATTACTTTCTCGATTTTCCGTAAATTTTCTAAGTTAAAACATACCCGAGGCCATAAGCCATAAAAAACTGGGCAGACTTTACTTCAACTGGACTAGGCTGTTCAACTGTTTTCAGGCAACTATCTTCAGATCACCGGGAGCTCTCTTCTGCAAGTTTTTTATATCAATTCGCTCTCCCCGAAAAATTATTAGTAAATTTCCCCCAAATCGTCAATATAGGCGGTCGTTAACTTAGGACTTCGAATTTCATTGGACGCCCTCATTGTTATTAAAAGAATGATGCAATTTCCTTGAATATTTTATCATTTTTCTAGCCCAAAAATCGACTAATTATGTCGTAATATACTGATTTATCGAGGTCAAAACGTTTTGGGTTCAAAAAATGCCATAATTCATTCGATTTAATTAGTTACACATGGCCTTCGCTAACGAAAAAGTTCATTGATCGGTTATTAATGATGTCATACTGTCCTCGTTTTTATCTGTTTTAAGAATTTAATTTAGATGACACTTCCGGGTGTCGTAATACGATTGCTTAGTTGGTTTTTATTTTTAATTTATCGATACAGATTTCAAAATACCGGAATTAAGTTTTTGATTGTTTGATTATTTATTTAATTTTTACAGTAAAGACTTTGTAATTATAGGGTCAAATTTCTGGATCATCACAATATCATTAGAAAGAGCAATAAATTCTCTAGAAATCCGTGCAAAATTGAGTTCAATAGCTCAAACAGTTTTTGAGCAATTGAGCCTCAAAGTTAACTTTTAGTCCGAATTTTGTCGAAAACTTCAAACTCAATTTGCTCAAAAACTCTAAACCTGGGAATATTGTAGATTATAGGACTTTTAGAGCTTGCTAAGAGCTACAAATGCTGAAAATTTCAATGCAATTTGCTCAACGGTTAATGAGCAATTGAACTTTGAATATTTTAAAATCAGAATTCAAAGAGGGTAGGTAGGTAGATATAGGTACCCTTATGAAAAACTCGATTTTTCTATTTTTCAGTTTTGCTCAATTTTGACTTTACCAATCGATAGAGAGGGTAAAAATTAGTGGGAAACGACCCCGACATCAATTCCAAATGGCCATTTTAAGCTGAAAAAAAAATTAAAAAGGAGATCCTATTTTTCAAAATCTTGACATGGTGATGAACAATTACCCATATTTTTGTTAAATTTTGAGCAAATTAGAATAAATTATACATATATCATTAGAAAGAGCAATAAATTCTCTATAAATCCGTGAAATATTGAGTTTAATAGCTTTCTTATTCTTGTTCAGCATTTTGCCCCATAGGACATGTCCACCTTATGATGAAATTGGTTTGAAATTAATAATAAAGTTTATGAGGTAAAATGTAGGACTATGTCGATCATTTTGAGGAAACGAATTAAGTGAGCCCTATTGGTGGTCGTTTTATTTATTTTTTTGGGCAAAATGCCAAAATGTTGGAGGGATTTGATGGAAATTATGCAAAAAATGGATAAAGAAAAGCTTCATATTCAGGAAAAAAACATAGGTAGGTAGGTAGGGAACTTTGCAGCTTATTGGCAGCTACAAAACTAGGTATCGAATTAAGCTGCATCAAAATTATTAATAAGGTATTTGTAGAGAATTTAATAGGCTTCAATTTAAGCCTAATTATGTTGAAATCGGATCTAAATTAACAAAGTTATGATGCAAATTGACAACATGGGTACCTACTACTATAGAGAAAAAATCAACAAACCTATTTTATCTCATAACTTTGTTAATTTCAATCCGATCTTAACGTAATTAGGATCAAATTGAAGCCAACTGAATTCTCTACAAATACCTTATGATAATTTCGATGCAGCCTCAAAAGTTTCGCGGCTGCTAAGCTCCAAGTTCTATTGACTGATTTTTATCAAGGCAAGGTAGGTATAAGCATGCACAGATAAGAACGTCAGATAAGAAAGCTTGGTACCTACGTGAATAAATTATGGAAATAACGAAATTATAATATTTTTATCTATTATCCATGGTTTTTTTGTTTGAAATAAAGTTTTAAACGCTGAAAACAACATTTTTTCTTTTCATAGGAAAGGATTGATTGAATTTTCAAATTTATTGGATTTCATTGGATGTAACTACTTAAATTTAAACTAAATATTAATGTAATAATTAAATGTATTGAAAATATAGAATATACTGCATAAAAATCAATCAAATCGCAAGAAAAAAGCAAAATTTAAGCAAACCAGTTAGGAAGAAAATGGCGGAAAAAATCGCTCCTGATGTGGCCCCACCTATCGATTACAACCGAAAGTTACCAGAAAATACCGTGGCGACATCTAGCAAACAAAAGCTAAAGCGGTTGTTTTTACAGAAATCTGTAAAAACAACAGCTTTAGCTGATAACTTTTGATTGTAATAGATAGATGGCGCCACAAAAGTTGCGATTTTTTCCGCCATTTTGGTCCTAAATAAATTGCTTAAATTTTGCTTTTTGCTTGCAATTGTATTGATTTTTGTGCAGTATATTTTATGTTTTCAATATATTAAATTATTACATAAATATTTAGTTTGAATTTAAGCAGTTCCGTCCATTGAATTCAGAGAAATTTGAAAATTGAATCAATTGTTCCTTATTTCCTATGAAAAGAAAAAAAACGTTTTTTTCAGCGCTTAAAACTTTATTTAGATGATTATTTCAAACAAAAAAGCCATTTTCATAATTTATTCACGTACCCGTACCAACCTTTCTGACGTTCTCCTGTGCGTGCTTATTACCTTGATAAAAATTAGTCAATAGACTTTGGTGCTTGTGTTCAGACTTGTAAAATATTAAATTTCTTTTCACATTTTTTAAGGTCTAAAAAAGCAACCACGACAGCAAAAATCAATCCAATGCATTTTATTTAATTTTGCACTAGTGGAAACAAGCCCTTAATTTGACATTGCAAGGGATGCCGCACTCAGCGATTTTAAAAATAGCATGAGTCAGTACGCAATGAGCCACAGAACGAGAAGGTGCGTGTCGTGTTCGTTTTTTAACGCCTTTTTCGTTTTTTATGAAGCCTGTGCGCTCAGATACCTTAAAATCGTTGTACTCAATAACCAGCCTGTGTCTGGTACTCTTGTTTTGACCCCCTCGAAGTAATAGTGCTCATTAAATCACGTTTAAGTTAAATTCAAAATTCCGGTGTTTCATTTTCCTAGATACAGTCCACTAACGCATTTCTTCCTTTTATCTATGCTTTAACGCAAAGCCTGAAATTCAGCGATCGCTTTATAGTTGAAGAAACGGGAAAGCGGTGTTGCCGATCCAGTGCAGCATAAACAGCTTGGCAGCTGCGAACCTATTGAAGCTGTATCGAAATTATCATAAGCTTTTTGTAGAGAATTCAATTAGATTTAATTTAAGCCTAATTACGTTAAGATCGCATTGAAATTAACAAAGTTATGAGGCAAAATCATAGTTTAGACTGTGAATAAGCTTTGCAGCTGCAAAACTATTGAAGCTACATTGAAGTCATTTTCCTATAATTCACTTTCAAAATTGTTTATTTTCAATGCAATTAGGCTCATTAAAATCCTCTATCGAATGGAACATGATTCGTACTCAAATCGATCAAAGCATTCCAGAGTAATGGCCGATTAATTTTCCGATTTGAATATGAAAAATTAAGGAATTTTTTTGAAATTTGGAGGCCTGAAATATGACTATTTTGTAGCAAATTTAATCCTCTATCCAATGAAACATGATTCATTAAAATCGGTC